AGGCACCACTCCCATCTCAGAGGCACCCTATAGGATGAAACCAAAGGAAATGCAAGAACTGAAAACACAACTACAAGATTTACTAGATAAGGGTTACATACGCCCCAGCACCTCACCATGGGGAGCCCCAGTGTTATTCGTCAAGAAGAAAGATGGGAGCATGCGACTATGCATCGATTACAGGGAATTGAACCAGGTTACGATAAAGAACAAATACCCCCTCCTCGAATAGATGACTTGTTCAACCAACTTAAGGGGGTAGGAGTGTTTTCGAAAATCGATTTAAGGTCTGGATACCATCATATAAAAGTGGTCGACCAGGATATCCCGAAAACAGCCTTCCGCGGCCACTACCTATTCACAGTAATGCCATTCGGATTGACCAATGCCCCAGCTGTAACACCCCAGATTTTTGAAACTTTTAAAACTTGTACAATAAAGGTAATACTATCATTAATTCCGAAACAGAGCATTACTAAACATAAGAGTTTGGGGTGCTATGCCACATCCGAGCTGGAGAACTCAGATGCACAGGTTATACTAACTAAATATCCTCAAAGCAATGTCAATACATCATCATGGCACGCATGCCGAAAGGAAAACTATCTATCTAAGCCTTGGTCCTCTAGCGCGCTCCGGAGCTACTCATCTGTTCCTGAAAGCCAAATATATCTGTTCAGCGAATAATGCTGGTAACCCACTCCAACGCGTTGAAATACAATATATGTATGTATGTATGTATATATATATATATATATATATATATATATATATATATATATATATATATATATATATATATATATATATATATATATATATATATATATATATATATATATATATATATATTGTGCGGGTGAGGGCTTCAGGTGCGGTTGTGCGGTTTAATCTGAGCCATTCATCTCGCTTTAATCAACGTCCAGGATTATCAAAGTTTTAAAAAAAAAATGCGGTGGCAATTTTGTAATTTTTGCATCTAGGTCAAAATTAAGGTGAGCGGATCTGTGATTAATGTGCGTGAGTTTTGTGCTTAATGTGTATGTGTTTTGTGCTTAATGTGCGTGAGGTTTGTGCTTAATGTGCGTGGGGATATGCTTAACGTGAATAGTTGTTAAAACCTAAAGTCTGTGAGTGAATACTTAATGTGCGTGAGTTTTGTGCTTAATGTGCACGATGTTTGTGCTTAATGTGCGTGGGTTTTGTACTTAATGTGCGTGAGTTTTGTACTTAATGTCAGTAGTTGTTGAAACTTAAAGTCTGTGAGTTAATATTTAAAGTGCGTGGGTTTTGTGCTTAATGTGCGTGAGGTTGTGCTTAATGTGTGTGGGTTTTGTACTTAAAGTGCGTGAGTTTGTGATTAAGATCTATCACTTATGGTGCACCTTAGCTTATACTTCTTTGTTCCAGGCACGCGTTTTTTTTTTAAATTTTCATTGATTTGAGCCGTTGATCTAAATTTGATCAACTGCTCAGATTTAACCGCACAACCGCACAGGAAGCTATACCTGCACCTGAACCCTTCACTATATATATATATATATATATATATATATATATATATATATATATATATATATATATATATATATAGGAAAACCATTTTGAAGTCAGAAGATATATACTTAGGAGACTCTAACTTTAAAAACCGAGAATAGACTCAACAAGTAGGGATAAACACATTCAACAGTTATAATCATGCATACAAAGATACTAGCATATATCCTAAGGTCACAAGATTATGTCACATCATTCATATCATCATTCAATCATTATCTCAACACATAAGCACACTTTGGTGGCGCCACAGGACCAATCGCACGCCCATACATGAGGGTCAGCGCATATAGTGCTAACACGGCCCTGCAGCACCCTGCCTCGTATTGCAACACGAAGGGGTTGATCGCAACCAACCGATGAACCGCAGCTCATCATAACGTTTGATCGAAACCAAACGGTGGACCGCAGCCCAAAAGTGTATTTCTGATCGCAACCAGATTATGAACCACAGCTCATGTAAAACGTTTGATCGCAACCAAACGGTGGACCGCAGCCTTATATAATATTTTGTTAGGAATATATTGTAATAGATTTTGATATGCCAAATTGTATTTTAAAATCCCCAATTTTATTTGTTAAGTCCAGGCGTGTCATAGACCATGAAAGGAAAATTAACAAATATAGAAAAAGGGAAAAATACGAAGAAGAAGAAGAAGGAGATGTATGCATATGATATGTATACTTAAATAATCCCACACGCCCCAACTCAAGAAGAAGTCATACTGATGAATCTCATACGAAGAAACGAGAAGCAAACTAAATTGCATGAAGTTATCTTGAAGATCAAGCATCTATGGAAAGAAAGAAGTACATCAACGAGAATGCTATAAAGTCTAATAATTTGTACATGCGAAATGGATGAAAGCATGATGTATAAATTACAAGGTCTCAGGTTCAAAACTCACTCTCTACAAAAGGTTCCGAAATTAAATCAAGTAATTTGACACTAAGGCAAAATTAAATTGAAGAAGCCTAAATCACAGGTTTCAAAATTTTCGAAATTAAATCAAGTAATTTGAAACTAAAGTTTCAAAATAAGAAGGAGATGAAGTAGGAGTCATCAAAACTAAGAAGGAGATGTAGGAGTAGGAGTCATCAAAACTAAGAAGGAGATGTAGGAGTCAGGAGCTGAAGTTTCAAAAACTAAGAAGGAGATGTAGGAGTCAGGAGCTGAAGTTTCAAAATCAATTAAATAAGAGTCATCAAAACTAAGAAGGAGCTGAAGTTTCAAAAACAGTTCAGAGATGAAGTAGGAGCTGAACTTTCAAAAGTGGTTTCAAAATCAATTAAATAAGAGTTCAGAGATGCAAAATCAATTAAATAAGAGTTCAGAGATGGAGTATGAGATGAAGTTTCATCAAACTATATATAGTAAGAGCTGCAAAAGTGGTTTCAAAATCAATTAAATAAGAGTTCAGAGAGGCAAAATCAATTAAATAAGAGTTCAGAGATGCAATATGAGATGAAGTTTCATCAAACTATATATAGTAAGAGCTGAAGTTAGAGATGAAGTTTCATCAAACTATATATAGTAAGAGCTGACTATATATAGTAATAGCTGAAGTTAGAGATGAAGTTTCATCAAACTATACATAGTAAGAGCAGAAGTTAGAGATGAAGTTTCAAAAGCTAAGGCTATATATAGTAAGAGATGAAGTTTCAAAAGCTAAGGCTATATGTAGTATGAGATGAAGTTTCAAAAGCTAAGGTAATATATACTAAGAGCTGAAGTTAGAGATGAAGTTTCAAAAGCTATATATAGTTAGAGCTGAAGTTAGAGCTGAAGTTTTATCAAACTATATATAGTAAGAGCTGAAGTTAGAGAAGAAGTTCCAATCAAGGATTGAATTCTCACCATCAATATGAGACCAGATCAAGAGATCTCATTGGTCGAAATCAAACAACTTCATCAGTAGCCATACAGAGAGATTAAAATACACAGAAGATGAAAGTCCCAGAAGGTATGATCTACATCAGAATTATTTTAACGAGCACCTTCACGTGAAGACACGATCTCACTACTACAAAAAAGGGCTTTAACGTCGGTTGTTTGACCCCATATAACTTCAGATTTTGACCGACGTCTAGGTAGAAGACGTCGTAAATAATGAGATACGACGTCGGTTGAAAAACCCGACATCGTATAATTTTTTAATTTTTAATATTAACATACGACGTCGGTTATTAATAAATTATTAAAAATTATTTTTAATTAAGAAACGACGTCGGTTTTCTTTAAAAACCGACGTCGTATATTTTAAAAAACAAATAAATACACATAAGACGTCGGTTTTTATGAAAAAACCGACGTCTTATGTTAACTTTAAAAATTTTAAAAAATAAACTACATCGGTTATAACCGACGTCGTTTTTTTTTTTTTTTTAAAAACAAAAAAAAAACTATTTTCCACCTAATTAATCCTGTACAGCTTTTACAATTCACAACAATTTGATATTCAAAATCTTACCATCAATTCAAAAGCAACTCATACCATCAACTAAACAAGTTAAATTTATGGTAATTCTACAATTAATAATAATAATAATAATAATAATAATAATAATAATAATAATAATAATAATAATAATAATAATAATAATAATAATAATAATAATAATAATAATAATAATTTCAAAGTTAAATTATCAACATCAACTAAATTTCAAGGATTGCTTTAAGCCATTCATCAATAAAATACTTACACCATACATAACTTCATCAATCTCATAAATAGTAAGCCATTCTCCTAAACCACACAAATAATAAAATCTGAAATAAAATAAGAAAAAAAATCGAAATCACATAAATGGTAAGCCATTCTCCTAAACCACACAAATATAAAATCTGAAATTTTAAATGTTTAAATAAAATTTGCAAACAGTCAGAGGAGGCACTAAAGTTCATCATTATTCACTGCTACAGAATAAGTTTTGGATAATATAAAGTAAAATATTTGATAGAGAGAACTAAAATACATTATTCTTTAGTCATGTGATTTTTTAATAATAAAAAAGTGACAAGCACTAACATCAAGAATAGAAGATATGACTCTTACCCGACTAAATTTTACATCAGGCATTCCATTCTTAAATTCAACTTCTCCAAAAGCAATCTCCAGTTCCTAAAATTATGTACACAACAGGAAAGTTAGCTAAGTAAAATAATTTGCTAAGCTATTTCAGTAATGAAAAATCCTTCTCCATTTCAAGTAAATCCTTAATGACAAATTAGAGAAGAAAAATTTGAAAGAGTAAGCATTGATCTTACTAACCTCCACTCAGATCTTTAATTGCAGCTGCAAGCTAGTACTCTCATCTGCAGCTGAGAATTTAAGAATGGAATGTTGAAATCATTTGTTTGTTTCCTTCTTTCTTTTGTATTAGGAATAAGTGAGTAAAGTTGTATAAAGCATTTGATGCACCACATTTCTTTTCCATACAATGTTGAAATCCTAAGACACAAAAACCACGATCCCTTCGTCTCCCCTTTGTAAAGTCATAGTGGTGTGCTTTATGCAGCACCCACTTTCTGCTTCAATGGCTATCTATCTTTCTCCGAGATCTGACCTTTCTCTTGTAAAGGTAACTTTTTTTTCATTTCCTACAACAACAGAATGAAAGAGCATGTTTACTGGCTGTAAAGATTCAACAATAATAAAACAAGTTAAGAATAGAATAGACTATATATATGTATGTTTATATATACCCCCCAAGTGTTGCTGAACTGCCTGATCTTCTAATTTTACTAGAAGGTACTCTTCATTGTTTGATGCCAGATTGAACTTGTTTTGTAAACTTGAGAACATGTTCAAAAGGCGAGATCTCTCATTCTCTATCTCCAGAGAACAATCCAACATGTTCTCATTAATATACTCCCAGAATGGAACATTTCACTCTCGACTACCGTTACTGACAAACACCCCTGCAAGCCTTCTTATCCTAACTTAAGAACTCCATCTGTTCAAGCCCAGCACAACGTAATTTCAGTACTCTTTCCTCATATCCCATCTCTTGAGGAAGAAGACAGATTTTTGGTATTAAGCCTTCCAAGTTAAACATGTATGTGGCATCAAGCTATACAGTACAAAAGATAGTGCATAAGATCTATTGATTTTTAGAAAATTTGTTAGCTCTAACATAGTGACAAAATGAACCAGTAACTACCTGATTATTTATGAAGTAAAACAGTGATTCACATCCAACAATGCGCATTTCATCATGTGCCATTTGATCCAGCAAGATTTGAACAATACTAAGAAAACTTCCTGCAAACAATGGCCTGTCATACAGTACTTAATAGTCATCAGCACAGTTTGTATAAAGAATCAGTTCAAATAAAATTAAAAATATATATACACAACAATTCATAATTTACCCAATAACTTATAAAATTAAAAATATATACACAATTATTCCTAAAATTTTGAAATATACACAATAATAATTTATAAAATTCAAAAAATATAAAAAACTAATTAAATATTACATATAAATATATATATATAAATATATATATATATATATATATATATATATATATATATATATACTACGTACCTGGACGGAGAGTGGCGGCGGCGGCGAGGCACGAGCGGGGTCGGAGAGCAGGGGCGGCAGGGGCGGAGAGCAGGGACGGAGGCGAGGCACGAGTGGGGACGGAGCTGTATCGGCGTCCGATCTATGACGGTGGCGGCTGGCGACGAAAAACAGTGGCGTGGCGGTGTGGTGCTGTGGCGGTGAGGAGGTGTGAGGCGATGAAGATGAAAGGTGATTTTTATTTATTTTTGTTTGAATTGCCGTATAGTAGAAGCTTCAGACTAGGTTATATGCTTTTTAACGAATATACGACGTCGGCTATATACTTAGCCGACGTCGTATACCTTATATTTTTATGTTAAATTTTTTTTTATTCCGTATATGGCATCGGCTAATGCCGTATGTATTTTAAATACTTTTTTTTTTATTTTTTTATTACGTATACGGCGTCGGCTATTTAAATAGCCGATGCCGTATGTTATTTAAATTTCATTTTTTATTTTTATTTTTTTAATCAGTATACGACGTCGGCTAATTAATTAGCCGACGCCGTATTTAATTTTAATATTAATTTTTTTAAAAAATTAAATAACATACGACGTCGGCTATTTAATTAGCCGACGTCGTATGTTATTTAAATTTTATTTATTTTTTTTAACTAGTTTACGACGTCGGCTAATTACGCTGGCCGACGTCGTAACTATTTTACTTTTTTTTTTTATTTCGTTTATATATGACGTCGGTTATTTGTTATAACCGACGTCATATGTATTTTTTAAAAAATAATAAATAATTTAAATTATTTAACGTCGGATTTTTAAAAAACCGACGTTATAATGGTGACGTTAAATCCGTTTTCTGTAGTAATGTCTGCATCAGAAATATTTTAAGAGTCTCTTCACATGGACCAAGAGCTATGCAAACGGCCGAAATATCTCAAATGTTAGAGATATCATTTTTAATATGATCTTCTGAGAAAGCCACGGATCCTCTGCAAAGGCTACAAGAATTTAAATTTGAGATTGTCTATTTCCAACGGACAACTTCTCAAAACCAGCTATAAAAGGATGAAGATTGAAGCAGATCAAGGCACTTCCAACGAACCAAAAATGTGAGATCATACGAATCCAATCTGCTTGAAAAAGCTTACAAGTGAGAAAATATTCAATTGAGAAAAACACTCAGAGCTCAAGAGAAAATATTCAAGAGTGTTCAAATTCTTCATCATTGAGAGACTTGCTGCATATTGAAGATCCATTCAAGAAGTCTCAAAGTTGGAAGCCAATGAAACTTGTTTTTCTACAAACAAGTGAAACAGCAGTGTTAGAGAACACTGGACGTGATTAGTGCGGGCTTTGTGATCAAAGCACTAGATCACGGGATACGTTGAAGACGGGGGGAAAGTAGCACGGAGCTGTGAAATCCTGGATTGTCACATGGAGCTGTGAGATCCGAAGCAGAAGTGTCGGAGGCACTAGGCATGATTGGTGTGGGCTTGGTGATCAAAGCACCAGATCACGGGATACGTCGAGCGGATCGTGGAAGACGGGGGGAAAGTATCATGGAGCTGTGAAATCCTGGATTGTCACACGGAGCTGTGAGATCCGAAGCAGCAGTGTCAGAGGCACTGGGTGTGATTGGTGTGGGCTTGGTGATCAAAGCACCAGATCACGGGATACGTTGACCGGATCGTGGAAGACGGGGGGGAAAGTAGCACGGAGCTGTGAAATCCTGGAAAGTAGCACGGAGCTGTGAAATCCGAAGCCGGAGTGTTGGTGGCACTGGGCGTGATTAGTGTGGGCTTAGTGATCAAAGCACTAGATCACGGAAATTCATTTTATCTAGGAACCAAGAAGTGGTGGATATAGTGAATTGCTCTTGGACGAAAAGAGCAAGTGGAGTAGGAGGATTACATCACCTCCGAACCACTATAAATTGCCTTGTGTCATTTACTGCTTTATTTACTTACTGCTTATCACGATGATATACTTGACACAATCACACAACTCGTATTTATTTATTCCGCTGCGTACAAGACTCTAACAATCTAGTTAAGAGTCTTGATATCTCCATCGCCTCAACAATTGTTGTATTCGCGAAAACGGTTTAAAAGTCTATTCACCCCCCCCCCCCTCTAGACTTTTATCACACCCCCTTTGGGACCAACAATTGGTATCAGAGCCTGTAGTCTATTTGAGTCAGAATGCTTTTGACTGATACCAAAAATTGGTATCAGAGCGGGTTGTCTATTTGGGTCAACCTTGTTTCTGACTACTAGACAGATCCATTTTACCAGTGTGTGATTGGATTATATTATTCTTTTCCACGTAAAAATGAATAAGGATTTAACACAAAATTTATTATTCTCACTTGATAAATTTGATGATTGGAAAGTTCGTATGCAGGTTCATTTATCGGCCTTACCCGATGAAATGTGGGAAGTCATTTCTAATGGTCCGATAGAAATATTGAAAGTCAACACGGCATTTCTTCTATCATCCGATGCTCAACAATATGTACCAAAGCCAAAACCGGAATGGTCATTAGACGATAGAAAAAGAAATAATCTTGACAACATTGCCAAAGATATTCTATTCAAAACCGTTGATGATACAATATTCCTAAAAATTCGAAAATGCACAACCGCGAAAGAAATTTGGGATACTCTCATCAAGATCGGTGAAGGGGATGAACAAGAGAAGGATAACAAGTTCACGATAGCCATAAAGAAGTTCGAAGATTTCAAAATGCTATCAAATGAAAGCATAGTTGAAATGGAAGCAAGAATGATCAAAATTTTTGGAGAGATTAATGATTTTGGCAAAGAAATTAGCCAAAAAGAAATTAATCTCAAGATCCTACGAGGCTTACCATCCGCATGGGACATGAAGGTTACGGCTATGCGAGATCACCGAGATCTAAGAACGTTGTCAACTGACAAATTGTTTAGTGATCTTAAAGCATATGAGTTCGAAATGAAGGCCAAAAATGATGAAGATTATGAAGTTCGAAATCCAGCTCTATTGGCCGAACAACCGTCAACCTCCAAGTTAGTAGATAATGTTGATTTTATAACTGATGAACAGTTTGCTCTCTTTGTTAAAAAGTTCAGGAAATTCATGCGAAAAGGAGACAACAAATATCCATCACGAAGAAATCAAAATTTCTCTCCTGGAAACCAAAATGCCGCATGGAAGCCGAATGAAGAAAAAGTTGATGAAATGAACGATCTATGCTACAACTGCCGCAAACCCGGACATTTTAAAATAAATTGTCCGCATCCGATCGTTAGCAAATATCTTGGCAAAAATGTTGAATCTACACCGAATAAATTCGACAACAAAGATCGAAGATTCAAACGTGACAAGAAAAGCTCTCATGAGCAATGAGCCGAATGAAGATGATGAGTCCGACGAATCGTCATCAAGCGATGAAAGTTCATGTTCAGAAAATGATAGAGCGCTAGTATGCAAATCAAATGAGTTGAGTACAAGTGAAGATTGTCTAATGGCACTGGGAGCAGAGGAAGAAGAGGTAACATCTAATTCTTTTTCTTCAGTTAGTACTCCCTTTTCTCGTGAATCTATTGGCAATCTAATGCGAGATTGGCAAGAGATCTTGGCCACTCATTCTCAACTCAAGGAGGGCAATAATATTCTAATTCTTGAAAAAGAAGAGATGAATAAAAAGTTGCAAAGTGCTTTACTTGAAGTGAGTAACTTGAAGAGTAAAAATATTTGCCTTCAAGAAGAGTGTAAAGCTAGAGAGGTTAGAGAACATAATCTAAGAGCTACCATTGCTACGTTTACTAATTCGTCCAAGATCATGGATAAAATGGTAAACATGCAAAAGCCATCAGGAGATAAGACCGAACTTGGTTATGACTCCACATGTTCTAAAACCCCTCCAAAACTGACTAATCTTACTGCTACTTTAAATAATAAAGTGCAAGTGGTAAATTTGTGAAAAGTCAGTATAGCATAATGAAACGAGGACTTGGCTATCAACCAAATGCAAAAATGAATACTGCTAGGCCGAACCACGTTAATTACACGGCTCAGCATTCAAAATTCATTAAGTACAAAAGATATGCCAATGAGTTAAGTGCAAAAAGACCTCATAGAAAAAGGGAAGTTTTCCAAGGATTGGGGCTGGGAGATTATATCCCACTGAGAAAGATTGGTTGTGTGATTATAAACCATGGACCAAGTCCAGTTTTAATGCTTTTCATAGGCTAAAACAACAATCTACTTCCCAGGTGCCAAAATATAAAAATGATTTTCAAAACCGGGCACCAAAAGTATTTTCTAGAGTCAATTATGATTATCAAGTCTCAAATGGTTACAAACCACCTTATCTTAATTCAATAAGATCTAAGTGGGTTTGGCTACCAAAAATCAGTAACAACAAAGGACCCAAGCAAGAATGGGTACCTAAAAATAATTAATCTTTTTTGTAGGATGTTTGGTACATCGATAGTGGCTGCTCCTGCCACATGACTAGAAATAAATCATATCTAGTGAATTTGAAGAAAATCGATGGACCAAAAGTGATTTTTGGAGGAAATCAAAATTATGGAATTACCAAAGGAGTTGGTACGATTGAAAGAAATGGAATAAAAATTGAAGATGTATCGTACGTGGAAGGTTTGAAGTTCAACTTGCTGAGTACCAGTCAATTTTGTGATAAAGGCTATCTTGTGGAATTTTCCAAAGATAAGTGCCTAATAAAAAATGAGACAATAAAGGAAGTAGTACTCACTGGAGCAAGGAAGAAAAATATGTACATGGTTGATTGGAGCACAAGCAAAGAGTCTGTATGTTTAATGGCCAGAAATTCGAATGAAGCAAATTGGGAATGGCATAGGAAGCTCAACCATCTAAACTTCAAGAAAATCAATCAACTTGCAAAGAAAAATCTTAGTGAAGGTTTACCAAATACTGTCTTCAAGAATGACCAAGTGTGCGATGCATGCCAACGTGGAAAACAAATTAAATCATCGTTCAAATCAAAGATGCACGAGTCAACGTCAAGACCACTAAGCTTGCTACACATGGACTTATTTGGACCGGTTGATCCAATAAGTGTAAGCGGTAAGAAATATACTCTTGTTGTTGTTGATGATTTTTCCAGGTACACTTGGACCGTGTTTATCAAGAAGAAGAGCGAAGTTGAGCAAGTGCTACCAAAGCTATTGAAGCAACTCCAAAATGAGAAGGATATGAAAATATCAAAAATCCGAACCGATCGTGGAACCGAGTTTGTGAATAGCATGATTCAATTATTTTGCGATGTACAAGGAATTTCTCATCAATTATCTGCCGCAAGAACGCCGCAACAAAATGGCGTAGCCGAAAGAAGAAACCGGACGCTTAAAGAAGCAGCACGAGTGATGATCAGTGCATCCGGTCTCCCGAAATGATATTGGGCGGAAGCTATCAACACTGCTTGCTACACACAAAATAAAAGCATGATTCACAAGCAGTACAAGAAGACGCCATATGAATTATACAAAGGGAGAAAACCAAATATTAATTATTTTCATATTTTTGGATGCAAATGTTTTATTCATATTAATGATAAATTGCATCTAAAAGCTTTCGATAAGCGTGAAGATAAAGGAATTTTTCTAGGATATTCGACTACCAGCAAAGCATTCAGAATATTAAACAAAAGAACAATGGTGGTTGAAGAGTCCATACACGTGGTGTTTGATGAAAAATCGCACGTCAAAAATGTTGCACTGGACGTGGTAGACATGCAAAATGGTAACAGGTGTCAAATTGATTTTGGTGATACTAATGATACGTGTGAAGATAATATTTTGCAGGGTTTAGATGAAAATAGCTATGAAAATAGGTTTTTTTGAGACATGGGTTACCTCTTAGCCTTAATTAATTCCTTGGCTATGAAGGGTCTTTCTTTAAGCTTTCTTGCTTTCTTGATTTCTTCTAAGGGAATTCTTGGAGCTCTTTTGGGGTGGTGAGTCGTTTATTGTGGTGGGGGGGGGGGGGGGGGGTTCTAGGTGCCTCTTAAGTCCCCTATATATATATTTAGGAGTCCTGATTAGGAACTAATATTATAGGCTTGCTAATTCTATTCCTTTTGGAACTAAGGATTGGGTTTAGGGATAAGGGCCCATGGACTACGGTGGGCCTCTTTCCCTAATTAATTATTATAATTTATTCTTTCTCTTGGGCTATGGGTTAATTAATTAATTGGTTTTAGGGGTCGTAACACGGGGTGTTACACTCTCCCCCCCTTACGAGGGGCTTCATCCCCGAAGCCTGGTGCGTTAATCCATTCTTTCACCCCCTAGGCATTCCGCATCTTGGCCTCCCGGTTAGGAATGTGGCCCCACGTTTTGCCTTAGCTGGGGTAGACTGGATTTCTGGTGGTGTTGTGATAGAAAGGTTTTGGGTCTACCTCGGCCTCCTGCTCCTGAGCTGGACGTCCCGCGAGTGCCCAAGGTGGCCTCGATTGCTGCCACCCTCTGATCTAGTGCGCGTGTCGTACGGATCAAGGATGAGAACCCTTCCTCCATGATTTGGTTTTGCCGGTTGAGCTGTGCGAGTATGCGTTCATTGATTAAGCCCTCGTTTTGCTCCCTTGGGTTCCCTCCTGATCGTGGTTGCACCGACGGGTTGGGTTCGTCATCCTCCTCCTGGTCCTCATTTCCCTCCAGGATTCCGCAATCTTGCATTGCCCGTTTGAGCTTCTTGTTGGAGATGTCTAATTGGTCGACCAATTCTCTTCGTTCATCCTCGGGTTTTTGGCAAATTTCTTCGAGGGTGAGGTAATGTCCTCCCTCGGTTTAGTAGATATCATTGCGGCGTAGGTTCTGGGCATTAAAGGTCATGCCATTTGCGGTCTTGACCTCGGTGTGGCTTAGGTCCACCCCCTTTTTCTCCATGATCCAACTTAGGATCATCCCGTAAGGTAGGCTAAGTCGGTTGCTTGATTTGCAAAACTCCATGTGTTTTAGCATGAGGGCTGGCAGGTTGAACTTGATTTTGTGTTTCAAGAAATAGGCAAAGGTGCACTCTAAACTCCCCATGTCCTTGCTCTTATTG